CACATACCAATAGGTATAAGACCGAAGTTATCCATGTAAGTTGTGTTTAATCAACTTTGCATTATAGTGTTATGTACATCTGCTTATTATGGTTTTAAACTAAAAATGTAGGGGAGAGTGGGGCAGATTTGAATGCGGGGTACATTTGAATTTGTCTAATATAATTTGTTACAGATTATTTACATTCATAAAAATAATAATCTAAGTTGGTGACAATATTTTGTATACCATATGTGATTATCAGGCATTTTTGAATAATTTTGTGATAAATAAAAATTATAATGTGATTTTCCGGCTTTTTTAAAAAAAAAATAGGTGTTTCCATAAGAACATTTTGGAAACTAAAATTCAAAATAATTAGTTTAGAATTAAATATACCTATTCAAAATATTGTTGCCTAGTAATACATTTAATGTACATACATTATTTATAATTATTAAAATATATATTACGATTATTATTGATTATTTTGGCATGGGGTAGATTTGAATCTTCATCAATAGGGTAGATAATAGGGTGTAATAAAGGTTCCTCCTTTTTGAAATATCTATCTTATGGATGGAATATACTAGTTAACTGGATTTATGTCACAAGATGTGGATTTATCTATAAGAAAACTCAAAAATACTACATTTTCACAATAAAAAAAAAAATTGACAAGAAAACATCTAAACATTATTGTAAAAAATTGTTATTATATTATATTGAGCTATTTTTATTATTAAAATAAATAAAGTTTAATTTAATTTAATATTTAACATTCAAATGTGGCTTTTAAGACACATATTCAAATCTACCCCCTGCACGTTCAAATGTACCCCATGGGTGGGGTACATTTGAATAAAAATATACTTCACTTCATAATTAGAAATTAAATTGGTTATTTAATATATAAGGTTGTTATAAGTCAAATAGTATTCACAACTATCTAGACTACAGATTGTAATTATCAAATATAAAATTTGTCAAAAAATTAAAAATTAAAAAAATAAAATGTAAATTTCATTCAAATCTGCCCCACTCTCCCCTACCTACTTTTAGTTTATTTAGATTTTAGAATGCTCTTGTCCAAATTGATCGATTTTGTTTTCTTGTTTAGAATTTTCGATAAATTTCAAACGCACGCTGCAGAGACGCAGGTTACCTATACTGCATAATCAGACACACAACAGCCGACATATTATGAAGTTATTTGCCTACATTTTGGTATATTATGTAAGTATAGTTTTGTACGTCGATATCGTGAATCAATCATATATTTTAGAAATTATGTACCTACGGTTAAAAAATAATTTCATATAACCGCATAAGTCATCGGTGTCGAAAAAAAAATACAATATTGGTCCATTGTAAAAAAAAATAATTAACTTTGGCACAATAGGTATAAGACCGAAGTTATCCATGTAAGTTGTGTTAATCGACTTTGAATTATAGTGTTATGTACATCTGAGTATTATAGTTTTAAACTAAAAATGTACCTACTTTTTAGTTTATTTAGATTTTAGAATGCTCTTGTCCAAATTCATCGATTTTGTTTTCTTGTTTAGAATTTTTATTTTATTGGAAAAAAAATATTTACTTCAGCACATAATTTTTTTTTTTTTGGAGGGGGGTGCCATTTATCGGATGACACTTTCTTGGTTTCTTCGCCAAGCCAAGCCAAAAAAGAAAATGAACCAATATTATAATATGCTTTAAATCTGATATTGAGTAATAATTTGTGTTTTAGAATTTTTTTTTCATACCTATTTCAATTGTATTTTTGGTGTGGTCCGAAAATTATTGACCAACTACCAATAGATGATTGGATTACAGTTTTATACCTACTATAATATTTTAAATAAAAAATATTTAAAAAAAAAAGATAATTTCTACATGGCATAATCTTGTTGTTTTTACAAACTTCATCCACGGTATGTACATGAACTAAAAGTCCTAATCGTTCAATTGTAATAATATGAGAAGTAACAAAGTTAATTAATACCCAATAAACAAATGTCAAAAATATCATTCTTAGTTGTTAGTATTTTTCATTATATTATTATAATATATTTAAATTATATCTTTCACCTGCCTACTACATTTAGCCATGTAGGTATCATATATTAGGTGCTAGGTGATTAATTTAATGTAAAACATCCGGTGAGAGGCCCGGAGACATGATCTGGGGTTAAATCATATGAATAATCGCATTGGAGAACCTCACAATGTTCCGATTGTATACTTTATTAACTCAGAATGGATCAATGAATCAATTTAATTGTTTGACAATGATTTTTGTCATAATAATAGTACTTACAACTTACTTGGTAAAAACTAAAAAAAAAGGCAAAAATAGGTTTTATGACTCATCACGATTATATGTTTTTGTTTGATTAGAAAAAATTACCTTTAAAATAATTTACCATTGCTAAACCATAAGTAATTAATTCTTAATATTTGTCGAGTCCGTATTTATTTGCTATTCAACATAAACTTCACTAGCAAAATACGTTTTTTGAACGCAATGGATTATTTAAACCAGTATCGGCCAACAAGACTTCATAAAAAAAATTTGTATAATACCCACATGATATTTTCACAATAAAAATAATCTTAATTTTAAAAGTTTGAGTGCTATATTTTTGTAGGAAATTATGGGTCATAATATCTTATACAGACCATTACATATAGAAGTTCTATTATTTTATAAGCAAAACTTTAAGCTTGTGCCCTAAGGCATTTAGAGAATCTTTACAGTCGGAATTGTTTCAAAAACATTATAGTCTAAGTAGTGATCTTGGTCTGAATTATAAAGTATATACTATTCTATACCGATTATTAGCCACTAGGTCTGTTTTGTATGAGAGATATAACGTTTTGAAACAAATTTAAATATAATATTTTTGTTGAAATACACATAAATTATATTATATGATATCTATGTATATAAAGTATGAAATAAAATATGAAAGAGTTCAAACTTTAAATCGTATAATTTCACATTGAATCATTTACCATTGCAGTTTAATACTTTGTCGGGATATTCACTGCTCAATTTTTAACTCCCTTCACCAGGACATAACAGTTGTACAATATAGGTATATATAAATATTTTTAAATGTTTACAAATGTTTTTTTTTTTTTTTTTTGATAATTGAATTTATATTTATATAATCTTACAATAATGGTATATAATTTATTGGAACATAACAAAAAAAAAAAAAAAAAAAAAAAAAAAAAAAAAAATTATATTTACATATTACAAACTGAATCACAGACATTTTGAACAGTGTTCGCAAATGATGTGTACGCTTTTAGTTTCCATAATATGGAATTCATATACATTATACGTAATAATATATAAGATTCATATAATCAAGAGTATTTTACTGACATTCTTATCATAATAACAATTTGACATAATATTTTATGTTTAAAATAAGTAGAAAACGGACGAGTACACGATAACAATGTTCGTCGATATGCAGGTACATAAACGGTATATATAAGCTAAATAATACTTACCTAGGTATATGTCGAGAATAGATTATAAATAAATGGTAATAATAATATTGTTCTATTTAATAATAATATACCTAATTGTAAAGATCCAACACAATACATACATAATATATTATTTTTGCATATTAAGTAGTACATAACTTCCGTGGGGGGGGGGGGGGGGGTAAAAACAATAATAGTAATAATAATAAACTTTGAATACTCTACATAATCGCTATAATTTAATAGGGTTTTTATTTACACAAATGTTAACGGTTAAGCATTACATATTTTTTAGTAAGCTCCATGGCTTGAAATATATCCTGTATATTTACGCCATGGCTAGCCTTTCGTTTTCTTTGTTCCTTTTTTTTGATCATATCGACAGAAGTAGCAACAGAAAAAAATTATACAATATTATTCGTCACCATGGCAACATGCAATAATTCTATGTTTTTTCGTTATTAATTTCGTGTAATTATAATAATAATCGATCCGTTGCGATCGGCATAATTAAAATTTATAATAACAATACATAATACAAACAAATCAAAACAATAATATACTTAAATAAAACACATGGTGATTTTATCCTCGACACATTTTTACGAGTTATAACGATAGGGGTAATTAATACAAACATAGAATACTACAAGGCAAACAAATGTCTATTAAGTATAGCCTATATGGAATGTGAATATTTCAATTAGTTTGACTTATATTTATTTTTATTCTGCGTATTGATCGTAACTATTATAAGCTTAAAAAAAAAATTAACTTAGAGGTAGGTAATCTAAGACACTTGTGAGGCAATGCTACCACAACAAAAAGTTTTGATGCACTCGACTCGAGTTGGCATATTATATTTTATGCAAAAACATAAAAATAATTGTATAATAATAATAATAATACATTCATGTTTGAATTTAGTAATTTGTTCTGCTTTGATACGAGACCATCGATTTTAAAGTAAATAAGAAACAAAAAAAAAAAAAAAAAAAAAATGGAATGTAAAAGAAATACGATTCGAGACGATCACACATTGGAAAAGGAACTTATGCCAAAACTAAAATTAATGACACTATTGTAATGAATATTGCGTTTGTCCATTTAACAAGCGGCCAGACGACATTAATACAATAATATTTTTGATACGTCGACATGGAGATTCAGCAAAGACAAAGAGTGGGAAGTGGTAGAGAAGGAGGACGACAATGACGACGAAGAGAAGACGTTGGGTACTATATAAGGTTTGGCTACGAAGGAGAGTGATCAAACACAATTAATAGCGAGCAGACGCATTACGCACTAATAACAATAACGATAATGATATCATCATCGTCATCGACATTTTTTTTTTGTTTGTGGGTTGTTTTGCTTATGTTTTTTTTTTGTTCGTGTGTTCTAAAATATACATTCCGCCCGGACTGCACCTGTGCTGCAGGCGATCGGACGCCGAGTGGACTGGCGTGTTGTTGTGCAGGAGTCGATGGTGGTGGGCTTGTCGAGTGAGTTGGTCACGTTTCGGCGAACAGTGCAGTGCTGCTGTCGTTGTCTTCCAAGTGCATGTCACCCTGTGGCCGCAACAACTTGACGTAACCCGAGTGTTTTCTCTGCTTTCGTTTCACCTACATCATGGACGGCAAACAAATCAACGTCGTCAGAGATTATCATATACACAATCCGAAGGGTTTGACGACACGATGCGTTTAATGGGGGTAAGCTGGACACCCCCCCCCCCCCACTCATCTCGGATACGGGCAGAGAGTACAACACCCACCAAACCTATTAATACGCTGGCCAACGACGATTGATTTTTAAAAACCAAAAAATAGCATCCATCATTCCTATAAATCCACACCAGACCGCCAATTTCTCCGCGCACTCCCCTAGTTGCAGTTGGTATATAGTCTCCGGCAGCGACTGGACAGAAAATTCGTTGGATATCAGCGTTGGCGGCAAAGTTCAAACGATTATAGTTATCGTCCGGAAACACCGGAAATTCGTTTTCTAAGGCACACGACCGCGACGGGCAGATAAAATAAATCTTTTTGTAAAGTGCTGCCCAGGTTGGGGGGGAGGTTGGTGCGGTGAATCGGTTTCCCGAGGCCCTCGAGTTAATAAACTATTTACATACTTTAATTTTTGTTCGTCGCAGCGTTTTAACCCGGCAAAAGAGTACAGAACAACCCGGGTCTTTCTATATCTGGTTGGTGAGCTACACAAACTTCTTTTCCCTTGGGCCAACTTGCGCCATTTTGTACACCGATTCACAATCACACGCTCGATTATCGATAATAAAATAAGATGGGCGGGGCGAGGGAGAGTAGTATCGGGATAGATCGGGAAACGTCTCGAAGACCTGCAATATCTTTACCACATCCTCACAACAAAAAAAAAGGTAATTATGAGATTTTTTTCGGATGGTCGGCTGCGACCAGGGTACAACTACCGAAAAACGTGGAAATTGTGAACGGTTCAAAAATCGTATCCACTGTATCACTCACAAGAAAAAAATATGCCCATGGATATGCACTGGCCTGAGATTTTTGAGATCTTCGTTTATAGATTTAGAAACTATTATAGCATAACACGATTTAGGGGCGGGGGGTAAAAGTTGAACATTAATTGTGTGCCGAATTACGGCCACCACTGTAGCCGGAAATATTATCTGAGACGATACTCACCATTACTACGGACAATACGACCAAGCCGGAAGCGAACATGGCCAATGCCAAGTAACCGAACAGAGTGGCGTCGGCCTTAATGCCGAGTGGCTGAACGATCGGATCGCGACGGACGGACTCTGCCGCGGCCAAGTTGTCCAGTTCGTTGTCCACCGATGTCCGACGCTTTTCGGCAGGCGTCAAGTTGTGACACTCGCCGGTGTCCGAGTTGCAGCTGCAGCAGTCGTCGTGCGGGCGCGGTCCACAGCACGACACGCACTGAGTGTTCTTCCGGTCGAGGTGCAGCGGGAACATGCAGGCCGAACAGCTGAACGGACCGGGTCCATTGCAAGCGCGGCACGACGCGTGGCACGGCTTGCACAGCTGCGTGGGCGGGTCGTAGTACTGGGACCCCGAACACTCTGAGCACAGGCCGTCCTCGAGCATGAAGTGAGGCGGACACGACGTACACTGCAGCGGGCCTTCGCCTGCAAGAGACAACGCCAATACATTACATATTATAATATTATTATATATTATTTTATATATTTATTATATTAAATAGTGTGAACATTTGATTTGTCATCGATAGGTAACTTAAAAATACAAAATTAGAATTAGAAACATTTCGAAGTTATTCGTAAGTCGGTGACTAAAACGGAGTGCAGTAGTACACGTCATTTTGTGCGGTATGAAATATTGAATGTGCTGCAGTACCTACCTAAGAAATTTTATATTAAATTTAAATTGTATTACCTATTACCATTGACTATAATTTATAACTTAACGTTAGGATTTTGTTTTAAAATGGGTACGCGGTACGTCTAGATGTATACAATGTTAATCTTTCTTTATTTTCAATGTTTAAAATTAACAGAATAAGCAATTCATTTTTGGTTACAGTGTAAAATAATGACGAGAAACCATTTTTTAAATTTTCAATCCTAAGCTATAAAACATTTTATACATTTTTAACAATGACAAAATAATTTTACAATTTTCGTTATTTTGATAAATTGTATCAAAATTTGAACTTTAAATGCTTATTAAAAAAAAAATCATAATTTCTATCTTTAATATTTTTGAACCGCTATTAAAACAACTTATGAGGAACCTTGTATTAAATTTTCAAGTCTTTTTATACCGGTATTTATGAAAAAAAAAAAATTAAAATTAAAACTGTATAAATTGCTTAAAAAAGTAAAAATATTTTTTAAATTATACCATGTATAGAAAATGATAATACAAATATTTGGTGAAAATTACAAGTATTTACGGTTGTTATTCGTCTTTGAATTAAAATAAAATAAGAAAACCGTTCAATTATAGAAATCGTTTGATCACAGGTGAATATCCAAGTGAATATCCAACGTCGAAAGAATTTAAACTTCAAACGCTTATAAAAAATTAATTTGACTTCCCGATAAACTTTTTTTTTTGTTAAAGGTAAAAAAAAACTTATTCAAATCTTTTATTACATTTTCAAATCTTGGATATCAAAAGAAAAATTCTTATACATTTCTAACTCGATATAAAATACAAATTTTCGTGATTGTGAAGAATTTTATCAACGTTTTAACTTCAGACGCAATAAAAATCTATTGTACATTTATACTCAACTTTTTTTTTGGAATTACACAAATGGAATGTATGAATAACCGATTGTATTAAGTATTCAAGTTTTTGACCGAGCGAAAATTGTTATAGGTACCGACAATAATAATTAAAGAAAAACTAATAGAAAATAGAAATTTTTTATGCCTGTAAATAGCTTAAAATAAGTCAAATTATTTTGAAAATGTTATGGTGTACATAGTAAATGCTAAAATAAAAAAGGTGGGCAAGTGGGTGTCACTCTGCAATACAGTAGGTTACAAGTGGGTCACTGTAGTGGATGGTGTTAAATTTGAATTCAATGATATAATATCATTGTATAAGAAAAAGACGGTCAGTCAGCCTGTTTTCACCTATGATTGGAGGAAGGAGGGGTGCTAACCTACTGGTGAGACAGCAAAGCCATGTGATTTAGTAAGCCACTAATAAAATGTGCAGTACAATTAATATTTAGATATTTTTCACCTGTGACGTAAATTATAATTTAAACATTTTTATTTTTTTTCAATTAGTTAAATTTTTTTTCTTCACTGATATTTTCTAATATTTTTGTAAATTAGGTACTGTCCTAATTTCGAAAATTGTAAAAAACAATATACTATAGAAGTGATAGAGAAATAATGATCGATTTATCGAACGAGTGAACAGCCTGTTAATTCTATTTGACATTTCGACGAAGCATTTAGAATATGTAAAACGTGTACCTGTACAGTAAATTTCGAGATCTAATTTATTTCAATCGAGTTATTTAATTATTGCCGAAATATGTACGAGCTGTAGATACTTCACTGCTATAGAACACGACAGTAATTATATCTACTCGCACTTATATTCGTCTCGCATATAATAAATAATTATTACCCATTTATTACTAATAAATAATAATTATTAATTATATACGAGACGAGTGGCCAGCGGAGATGATCTATAAGACATTGAACTTACCCTTGCAAGTCTTGCAGTAATGGTGGCATTTCTGACAACCGAAGTCCGACATGAAAAAACCTTGCGGACACTCGGGATGACATTCGCCAGCGGCCAACTGCCATCCGCGTGGACAACTGACGCACTGGTCCCTGCGGGGTCCACTGCACGTCATACAACTCAGATAACATTTGGCGCACGAGCCCACGTCACTATAATATCTGCAAACACATTGTAAGCCCGCGGGCACTCGTTATTTAATATATTACATAATTAATGAAAAATTGTATCAAAAACTGCTCAATGGTGATCATCGAAGACTCAAGGGCGTCCGTAAAAATTTGTCAAGGGGAGGGCAAAATATTTTCTTTTTACATTTTTAGTCTCACTATCCTATAAGTTATAAATTATTTTTGTGACATATTTTCTTTCATATTATAGACTAGGAATCTAAAAATATTTATGAATTATACGTACCTACATAGTTAGTTAAAACTTAATCTTGCAGCATTAATTTTAAATTATCAAATATATTATTTTTTAAGAGGACGTCGTACCCACATGTGTTGTCTCCATCTTACACAAGTAGGGTCATATTTTGCTTTTATAATTTTTAGAGCATTTTGAAGTAATTCTAAATTTAAATTTAAAATTTTATTTTTAATTTCCACATGTATTTATAATAAATATATGATCTAAAGTCTATAGGTAGATAGATAGACCAATAGGTACAGAAAAAAAAATGGTTAATTTTCAGATTAAATAAGTAGTCTAAATGATAAGTTCTGTCTGTAAAACTATTTTACAATCATTTAAAAGTTTAAAATGAATATTAGAATTTATATATTTAATATTAAAAATAAAAATAATTTAGTGCATGTTTTAGGTTTTTTAGAACATTAAAATCATCAATAATAATATAGGCATGATAATCAACCCAGAAAAAGCCAAGGGAGGGGCAACTGCCCATACTTGCCACAAAAGTGGAATTGTCTCGAACTCATGTGCGAGATGACCAACACACATTATCTAAATGCGAGTTGACCCATTTGACCGATCACTCTACGGTGCTATACCATGTTATTATTCTTGATAAAAAATTAAAGCCATAAAAGCTATTTATTCGATATTCGATATTTGTATACAACTGTAATGAAAATATAGGATGTCATAATAACAAGGAGATATAAAAACAATTATCTATAAATTCAATACGATATAGAACATTTAGCTTAAATAGTATCTCTTCAAGGTTTAAACCGTTCGAAATTTATTTTTATCCAAAATAAGTACACACTGACTTTTAAGATCAGCACCGATACGGTCCTGGACCAACTTGTACAAAGTGTATAATATCATAAATTATAATGTACGTACCCTGGGGCACACGTCGTACGACATTGGCCGGTTTGCAACAGCAGAGGCGAGTGACACATGGTGCAGTTGGTGCGCGACACACATTCGATGCAAGGATGAGGGCACGGTTGGCAAGTAGCATAGTTGCCGAATCGCAAGTCCGGATAGAACCCGGGCGAACATTGTTCCACGCACGAGCCAGGAGACTGGAACATGGTCGGCGATCGACAAGACAGACAGTTTTCGTTGGAGAAGTCGCTGCAAGTTTCACACGACCCGTGACACGACTGACACTGTGTCCCAGTCCAGAACTGGCCTGCTTCGGTGATCGCAAAGGAAAAAATAAAAATCATTGACGTCTCGCGATCGCGGGTTGATCATCGTTTGCCAAGCGGAATGGCGCTCGAAACCAGTTGTGGCGAACAGAACAATATTATGTATTACTGAGTTTTCTCACCTGATTGACACTGTTGACTGCCGGTTTTTAAGCAACGGCCTTTCTTGTTCAACGTGAAACCCTGGTCGCAGGAGTGACATTCGGTCAAATTGCAAGCGACGCAGCCCATGGGACAGTCCAGACATTCGTGACGTTTGTGGTGCGGATAATAGAAGTCTGGGCATTTCGAATGGCAAGTGCCTTTGAGTTCGAAATAACCTGACTTGCAAGTTATACACTGGTCGGCGTTTGGTCCGGTACACGACTCGCATTTGGCATCGCACGAGCCACATCTGGAATAATTTTCAAACACGTTTAATCATAAAAGCAGTTTCGGAAATTCTTACATGTATAATATGACAGCACATGGTTATTTAAAAAGTGAAAATTAAATTGAAGCACTCACTGGTTGATAAAACAATATAGTGGCATCACTTATAGGAAATAAAGGATAACGACAGGAAAATTAATAACAATTAATAGTATCACAGTTTAACCGATCTGAAAAAATATAATAAAACTGGGAAGCAGTGTTGTTAAGAATATTTTTAAATATTACCCAAAAATAGATAAGGTAATGATGATGATGAAATTATAGGTATTTCAGAATTTATTACTAAAATACTTAAAAAAAAAAGTAAAAATATATTTATATTTTAATATGTTAATCAAATGAATAATATTCGTTTGAATAAGTCATTGTTACACTTTGGTGATATAATTTGTTTGAAGTATGTTAATCCGTCATCCGGTCCTATTCATATATACATAAATTATATAGTTCTATAGAATAATCTTTGTTATTTCGACAATACCGACAATAATGCGATACCTGTGTATAAAATACGATTTGAATACTCTATAATGAGAGTATTTTAACAATTTTATACACAAATACTTGAAAAAATTTACTCTTGGAGTTAGGTACAGCGTTGTCTTACCGGTAATCGTTGGTCTCGTATGTGTTGACTGGACAGTTTGCATAACACTGATTATCGTGGAGTACCAGGTGATGTTCGCAACTAGTACAATGGTCGGGACGACCTTCGCAACTTCCACAGTTCGGACCGCAAGCGACGCAAGTGCCTTCTTCCGTATCTACAAGTGTACGCAAAACCGGACGGGTTAGCAAATCGGCAGCATATAGGTATAGGAATATAATATATTGTTGGTCAGTTAGAACGATGTCTGCAGCATAGACCTATAAACTAATGGACTGCACCTCACTCACCACCCAGCCATTAATGAGTGGCGCCAATATAGAGTGAGTGAGAAAGAACATATTGGGGGAATCTTGGTGGACAATCATATAAGAGAAAGAGAGAAAAAACATAATGGGGGAAATCATAGACGTATGAAACTAATACTGTACATCGTACCCCTGACCTCTCTCTCTAAGCGCTGTCCATTAGTTTATAGGTCTATGGTCTGCAGTCGTGATACGAAGAAAATAATTACTTTCAAAGTATCCGTCCGGGCATTGTTGCAAGCAAACGGCCAAGTCGGTAACCCTCAGGTGAGCGGGAGCGCATGTCAAACAGCTATCTTGTCCAGCTCCAGCACAGGTCTCGCACGACTCGTGGCATGGCCAGCACACGCCGCCCTTGTTCGGGAAACTTCGGGGTGGACAACGACTGACACAAGTGCTGAAAACCAGTGAAACAATGCATTAGAAAAAATTGGTAACGTTGGATAAACGGTATCCGAGCAAATTTAAAAAAAAGAAAAAAAATTTTTCAATAGATAATCTTTTCAACCAAGGAAAGCACCGTTTCCGTTCTTGATTGAGTGAGGTAGTATGGAGATGATACACGTATGAATGGGCACCGGGGGTGGGCGTGTATATATATATTTGGAAGAAATGATAAATTATCACATCTGTAAGACGATTCTTAATGGTCCGGAACCGAAAAAATGGTTGAGATTTTCTTAAAAATAGGCGTCAGGTGGGCAATAAATTTCACCGTTTATTGGAATACGGTTTTTTTTTTTAAATTACCGGGAAAATCTAAACATAACTCTCTTATTAACTCACGAGTTCAATATATTATGTTCAATATCCAATCTAAAGAAACTTTTGGATTATTTTTATTGTTACGAAAATGTTTTCGTATGTGGGAGAACGAGAAAAATAAATACATCATCCATTGTAAATAGCTTCCACGCTCTACTCAGAATTTATAAAAGCAGTGCGGCTGTCCGTGTGTGGGAAGGACATACATCATGTGATGGTAAATAATCAATACTCAATTTGTTTTGTAAATTTAAGTCTTTATATTAGTTTTAATTTTTAGGAAAACATAATATAACAAAAGAGGAGCTCGAAAGAATTAAATGTGTTTAAGTGTATTTTGAAAAAGTTTTAATTTTGGAAATAAATTTACTAATAGGTTGCAAAGTATCTATCTGGAAACCACTTCATATCAACACGTTTTAATTAATTCAGAATTTCTTAGTTTTATAATGACTCATTATACGTACATTTATTCAGTTTTTGAGTTCAGCTTGGAAGGAACTAATAAATCGAGTTCTACATATTTTTTAAAATAATTTGAACAGCATTTTAGAGTTTCAAGACTTAAACTTTAAACACTGAAAGCATGTTTCTAAGCGGTATTTTATTTAACTGTTTATACAATTATAAATGTATAATAAACAATTGACGAGTAAAGGAAAATTAAGTTTTGAGTTTTGTTATTAATATGTATTTATCATCCCAAGTGCAACTGATTAAATTCAAAACAATTATTAACTATGCAAAATGTTATGTTAAAATGTTTAATAATCAAATTTCCAACTAGAGATGAATATATTAATATAAATTAAGGAGTAATATTTCCTTATGGGAAAATCAATTTTTATGTTAGAAAATCTGAACATTTTAAAATTTAAATTTAAAACCCATCGAGGTTCTTAAGTTCCATCGCGTTAGAACTTGCAAGACAAGTGCACTTTATTATATTACACTAGTAATAATAATTTCGCAGAATACATTAAAACCAATTTTATTATTAGTTTAAGGGTTGTATGATAACTATTTATTTATATTATTTTGTATTACATTATTTTTTATTGACATTCATTATATTCGGAAATTCAATGAATAATATTAAAATAAAAAATGAATAAAAATTACATTATTAAATGTGTACGCCCCGCGGGGTGGTTACGAAGCAATGTCAATGCACATTGCATACAACGAAAAATACCAATATATAATATATTATTAAAAAAATATATATTTCGATTTGATGAATAAACAAGTCCACCCTATTTAAGGGGTGGTTTGTCAATTGTTAATTTAAATGTGGTCAATTCAACAAAAATATGATATCAAAATATTCAAATATTACAGTCTTAAAAAAAAAAAAAAACGGTCTTGACCTAAGAATATCATTAGCTTGGTATTATAATATAATATAATGCATATAATAATACCACTACCATATTTTTCTTTCCCTGTAAAGATAATTGGCAAATAAATATTCTGAATTCTATACATATAATATAAATCAGTCTACTTGTTATTATATCGTGGAGACCGATATATAGTATACATGATGTACCCACAGCAAAGCTTATTAAAAGTAAAATTAACGTCAAAAGAAATTTTCAGACGAGAGGGACACCGCCGCATCGCCTCGATAAATATGATAATAATACAGTAGAATGCAATGCAAAAATTATATTTCATTTATAATGGTCGTGACGTACCTGCTGCTGCTTTAACGTAAACATTTCAAGAATATTACACCCAACCCTGTGTAAACGCCCACAGACGTATTGAGTTTCACGCGCCAGATAATATAATATATAACATATTGTCTAATAACGACGAAGAAAAGAAGCACACTATACGCAGGAAATACGATTTTTTTTCTAGAAAAATAACAACGCTGCGCAGGATAATAATATGGGTTTTAAACGGAATTCGGCATGTGTGTGTGCAATATACACACATAGAGATTTAAATAATATGTTATCGAAGCACGAGAACTTGTACTCTGAGTAAACCGGGACTTATTATTTTCGGTCGTACAATGTTTAAATGTTAACAATGTGTGCAGTACCTGCAGACGCGCAGCCAACAGGATAAATTAGGAGAGACGACGAGTTGCGAACGAAAAGTTCTGCCGTAGAGATAACAACGGTTGAACAACTGAGAAATCGCATTAATGGAGAGAGTCGCACAAACACAAATATAGGTAGGTAGTGCCCCTAACACGGTAAGTGTTCCAAACACGGTTACGTTCATTAATACGACTTTGCATAGCTTTCGGAGGTGACCATGTAGAACATTTAATGCGAAGGTAATGCACGAAAACTTTCTACTCGGTTATTTATTTATTAGTATTTTTTTTTTATTTTTACTTTTTCGATTTTTTTTTTTTATTTCGCGAGTTTTTTTTTGTTTTTGTTTTTTTTTTTAAATTTGGGATTGACAGCTCCCCAAAAGTTTATTTATATTTTAGTTATAAAATTGTTCGGATAACATATTTTTTATTTTAAAATACTCTCACAACTTTTCATTTCCATCCATTTATTTACACATTATATATTTATATGCATATAATATATATATATATATATATAAATATTATATAGGTCACAGGCAGTGTCGCACCATAACATTTTCAAAGTTCTCTAATTCTATAGTGGTGGCGTTTGTTTTTTTTTTTTCGCAACGCGATTGCTTAAAATATTTACTACACCACACTGCTAACTTAGAAATAGTGTATACTTCTATTTTCGTTCGAAATATAGTTTAAATGGCGTATGCGTGCGTTGTACCATTGAATATATATATTTTATTATAGCCGTTAGGTAGGTGGGCATATCCAACTTTGTTTAATGCCAATGATCGAATTTTGTTTATTATTATTTCACGGGGCTTGCATGGCAAAAATACATTGCCATAACAGTGTATCACTGTAATACGTACCTACAACAAACAAGCTCAAAACCAACGCGTCTGTTTTATTGTGTTAGCGTTTACGAGTTTACCTCTGTAGGGTTTTTTGCGTTTTGTACGATATAAAAATGTGTTTACTTTTTTGTCTGCGTATAAGAAGAAAATGCATAAAATATAAACCTTAAGAGATGACTAAACATTATGAACATTTCTCCTTTGATATTGAACCGAGAACGTATGGGTACGACTACATTATAGAGATATAATATAATATATATATTAAAAAGTAAAGTTTACGTTTTATTAAAAACTATAGGTAGGTACATAACTTACAAAGTCGGGGTTGGGTTAATACTTTGATTTATGATCGGTTTAATATGTTATATATTCACGTTAAATGACTGAGTATTAAATAAATAAAATCAGTTCTGAGGTCAACTACAGCGCGATTTCAATGGATTCATTATATGAGAATAATTTATACGGCGGTTTCTATCGCGATTTCAATTCGCTTTTATACAATATATATTATTATTATCGTTTATCTGTAGTTCGTCGAAACCAAATGACTCGCAGAATGATGATCGTAAATAATTATTCCCAAGTGTTGAGGAACTAAATTTCTCTCGGTGCATTATTCGAGAACGTCTACATAATAAAATACGGTATGTAATAACTCGATTATAATATTATGACGACATCGGTGTTACAAGACAAGTCGGTTACCACCACCGAATTCGTGAAATGTATACGCGACGTGTACACCGTTATTGAAGTAATTTAAATGATTTTGTCCGGAGATAAAAGACAATGGCACACGTCAGCAGATCAATGATCATTGTTTTCGATGGTCCTTCGAATGGTATTCGATAATAATCATCGCAGGAACCTGCTGCTATGTGGCAGGTGCTAATACCTTCCTATATATTATGTTATAATTTGACGTCGTTAAATAACCGTTACAGAATATTAGCACACAAATACCGAACGTCGTGTAATATAATATATAGTTGTCATACATTACGTCACATTATCGTGTCAGTATTCACATGTGATACGCTAATTCCGACAAAATATGAAAAGACAATGTTATACCTACGTTTGTTGCCAAACGGAAAACGCCCATAATACGCGGGCTTACATGATATAAAACAATAATATAATCACAGATATAAAATACTAGATAGCTAACTTGTCTAAATTAGGGTAATCGATGTTGAAGTTAGCCACCAATATGCGTGTGGGTCAATGTTTACATAACTATCTTATCAACACTGTATGATAACATGATATTATTCGCACAGAATAAAGTTTTTTATAAAATATTAAAAAAAATATAAAAAATATATATTTCTATTGCAATTGTTTTTAATGAAAACACATAATATTATCCTTATTCAATATTCCATCTTCAGATATAAAAGTATTTTGACCATCAGATTGTTATCATGTCGTATTGATAAGACAATATGTAAACATTGACCTACACGCATATGGCGGATAACTTCAATGTTTGATGCCTTGTTATAGCTATCTAGTATTTTATATCTGTGAATATAATATTATTTTATACATTACACACCGTTGTTATATATTCTGTGATTACACTAATAAAACTACACGGAAACATACAATATATAGGTGCATTATAGTTTCTTACTTGTCGAGCTTAAAGTTTCGACAGCCGACGCACTGCGTGGGACCTTTGCCGTAACAGCCAAAAGCGTCGCACTCGGGGTCGCAATCGTGCAAAATCGTCTGTCCATCAATCGGCCTTTCGGCGGGGGTGGTCTGCGAGTTTGAGCGCGTGCTGGTGAGCGACGTGACTGACGTCTGAAACACACAAAACATGTTCAACATTAGTCGTTTCGTGTGGGGCCGATGTGTAATATACAATTTTGGAGAAATCGTACCTAAATGTATGGGGGAAAAAAAAAAAGGAAAAACGACGAGTTTTTCATTAGGTAACACTCGCGACAGACGTATGCGAATGTTTCTGTTGTTCCGAAGAGATCAATTACAAAAGAAGAATGAGAAAAAAAGGACTACGAGGAATCAAACGTCATTTAATCAGCCGAGGGAGGATTCTTCGATTCTGCTATTCTATTCGCTTGTGGGTCGTTAATATAAAATATATTGATCCCCGAGCTTAAGGAGAAGTACATTACGTCACGTCAGTGTTTGCATAATCCGCATGTGGGCAGGGATGGGGATGAAACTGTCGGGGATGGACGAGTTAATTTGAGCTGCTTAGAATTATTTCAACGTCGTGCATAATAGGAGGTTAAATGTGCACGTGGAGGGGGAAGGTAGGAAATAACTGGAACGAATGATTTGGCTAAGTATAAGAGAATCTTAATCTGCAGGTGAAGGTGTAACGTGTACCAGAAACCGACAGGATGATTTGCTCGCCACTCCATTTAAAGTATTTTTTTTTTTTTAAAAGGATGTCAAAATTTGGAAATAGAGTTGAACAAATAATGGTACCTATTAAAGTATTAAAAAACATTAAAGTATCGCTTATGTAATAGATTATATATTATAATAAATAATATAACACACTCGACACGAGTAATCGAGCACTGGTAAATTATAATAAAATGACATACAACTTACGAAGTACGGTATACCTATACGGTACCTGTTCATTAATACCTATATAATAACCCAATTAATTAATTAGAGCATGCGTCGGTATAACAAAATATTCGACCAGAGTGGGGTGGACAGGTATATAATACTTATTACTCCATTGTCTTGACATTTAACGATGCAGAACACTGTACCTATGTTTTATGCGTATTAAATATATAGTCTCGATACGGAAAAAGTATCATTTCTTCTCCCGGATGAACTTTATTGTCTTATGAATTATCGATTGGGCTGACAAATAAATTCGTCACGAGAACGGTGCACAGTCCGTCTGTAAAGTCAATATGCAGGGGTCTGTATATTTATGTCACAAGCGTTTTATATTAAAAAGTATCTTTTTTAATAAATCGCACAGGAGAACAAAAAAAATCAAATTTAAACTTTCGCTATTTCTTAAAAGTTTTTTTTGTAGTATATAAGGCCAATAATCGTGTCGTCGTTTTAACGTTCCGTTAACCAAATTGATCACATTTTGGATATTTTACCTTAAATTTGATAAATTGTTGTCGCTTATTGTTTAAAAGGTCGTGCGCTATAGGAGTGCGTGTTATAATATGGTGTTGTGTAATGGCGAAACTTGTCTGGATCACCTCCGGTCCGACGACACTATTGTCTATTGCCGTCGCTTATTTCCCGTGGATTGCTCGTCGGAGTGGAATGCACAGTCACCGATATTATTCACAAGTTCCACGAAGGAATATTTAGTTTCACACGTCAAACGACCGTTATTTTTAAATTAGAGAATTTATTGCAGGTGTTTATATTTTATGGAATATTATATATTATTATGAATAGGTTTGGAAAATATTATGCTCAGGAATATCCGAAGAAAACCTTGGTGGGTAGGTACCATGTATGTAGGTAGGTATGTGAAAATTGCAGAAATATAATTTTGAGCAGTTTGATCGAACGCCCACGACACATATATAATTTGTAGTATATATAGGTAGAGTGGCACCTCGATAGTTTGGCACGTTATTAAATCAAAAATCACAAATTACATTTTATAACTTGCATTCAAATTATCGTGGAGCAAATAACTTTTTACACATGTATTCAGCTGCAACGATTTCGTGATTTCGACAGGTTCATTTCCCAGGCACCACTAATAACTTAGTAATAACTAATATGTAATAATATACTAATTATATATCCGTAAATAAATTACAATTGTTTAAAATCTTTTCGAATTGCAGGCCAAAACCACTTTGAATGATCGATTCCTGTAGAGGAATTCCGAGGTTACAAATATTAAAAATTAGTTGTTAAAATATTAAAAAAAAGTTTGATACCATATAGGGGGCTCTATAATACCGTATAATGCCCTATGTAGATTGGAGGGGAGGCTGCTTGAATTTAACGCCTTTCAATTTGAAAATTAAATTCCAGTGTAAATACATTGGTACCTATTGGTACAAGTTGTGGTGTCTACCGATGTATATAAGCTCTTTCTGGACAAAGTTGGGGTGCTTGGGAAATGGACCATTCGTTATCAGAAATCCTCTCCCGTAGCGTACAAGTATGTCGGTTTTATTATATATTATGTCCATTAACAACCCTTACCGTAATTGCCTAAGATCGCCGTTATAGCGATAGTTAATATTGCAATACGAGCACCCCAGAAAAGTGTGGGGTTCGTGAGAAAATCGGGCGTAATAATAAAATATCTCACCTCGATGTCACTTCCGGCGGCGGCGAACACGTCGGGCAGGTTCCGGAAACCGGCCTGCGACAATATTTCGGCGATGCTCGAGTGGTATATGGACGGGGTGCCGGACACTTGGCCGTTTCCGTTGCCGCCCAACTGGGCGAACGGGAAACCGGCGGTTGAGGCCTTGGACGGCTGGAGAAGCATTTGCTGTTGCTGTTGCTGCGATATGGCGAACGGCGGCGACGGTTGCGAGTGCGCGGACCGCAGCCGTATCGGGTTGGTGGCCGTGCCGTAGAATATCAGCTGCCACTTCTTCAGTATGCCGGGCTGGTTGACGTGCCGGTTGCCGCCGTTGTGCACGGTCATCGTCCACGTGCCGTCCACCTTCTCGCCCCAGTAGTGCACGGACAGGAACGGCCAGTCGTCAAAGTTGGAGCTGACCACGTCCCGCGGCCGTTCGAACAGCAGCGTGGACGTGGTGCCCAGCGGCGACGTGAGGTCGATCCGCAGGTTGCCGCGCGGGAAGAACCGCAGAGATATCTTGCATTGGACGTGTTCGGCGAATCGCACCTCGTTCAGGCTGCCCGCGCATCCGCCCACCTCCATGGTAACGGTCATCGTGCTACCAGGGGTAGGGTCGATTTGCCTGCCAACAGGGATACGTATATAAGCAATGTATAATTGTGTCACAGTTATCGGGGACGTAAAATGAAAAAAATGGTGTTCTGCTTACAGTAGGTCACAAGTGGGTCACTTGTAAAAAGTAAAATTTAATGGATAGTATTAATAATTTGAATTCAATGATATAATATCTGCAGTGTATAAGAAAAACGATTCTGAGCGGAGACGGTATGTCAGTCTAGGTATAAGACATATTATATATACTTATCTATCGTATGAAAAAAAAATGTACCTAAAATAGGTACCTATAATAAATTCCAAATTAATCATATCGCAATATCCATTAGGCACTTATAACGCTTTATACATCAACAACAAACCCTGATACTATCATTGATATATAATAGTGTACTTTAGAAGTTTCAAGTACCCAAGAATAATATTATACACTCACAACAAAATAACTAAAATAGTTATTCTAGGTTTTTTATTATGTAATTTCGTCCAAATTTGAACTTAAATGACTATAAAAATAAACTGTGCTTCTGTATTTTTTTAGATTTTTGGTAACAGAATTAACTACTTACGTAGAATCTTGTTTTAAATTTTCAATCCTTAGATATAAAATTTAAATATTTTATAAATTTTTAACTACAAAATAATTATTCAATTTTAAATTTGATAAATTTTGTCAAAATTTGATCTTTAAATGCTTATAAAAAAAATTGTGCCAATGTATTTTAAATATTTTTCAACTGATAATGTAACAATATATCAGGAGCCTTGTATTACATTTTTACACTTTTTGGCCCAACAGATAAAACTTAATTGATATTTATAGAAAAAAAAAACTAAAAAAAAAATGGAAAATGAAAATGTTCCCTTTTGACCCCCCAAAGTACCAACAAGATTCACTTTCCTATCAGCAAAGCTACTGTTGAAGAAAATCCAAGCACTTTTACTGTCCTAAAACGTGATGACAAAAACAAAAATAAAAAACAAAAAACAAAAAAAAAACACACATCATTGTAAAATAAATACATCCATCGTACCCTTCAGAATCTAAAAATATGCATTCAAAATCAAATATTCAAACATTTTGCATTATAAATTATAATATAATACATACCTATACTAAAAACATTGACTATCATAACAGCTGTAAAATTTTAGCTATGCGTATATGTGTGTGACTGTGTGGTACGAATTTAGTGTTTATCGTCTATTAAGCTTAACAATATTTTCATACACATGATTGTACACATAACTATAGCAAAACACCGCAGGCGCCAGGCGATAATATTTTAAACGAATCGAATATCGATTTTATTCAATTTTGAGTACGCATAGGATACCCCTATATTCTATATTCTAATAAGTAATAACCCATGTTGGTTCAAGGAAACCGAAAGAGCTCTATAATAGGATTTTTTTTTCATCTTTTTAAAAGGGATTACTGAACTTTGAATCGCAACTCTGTTAAAGAGCTTCGTCAAATTTACTTCTGGGCGATGACTGCAGATGACTGGAAGTGAGTATATGTGAGTAAATATGATTAAATTATACATAGGCCAGTGGTTCTTAAACCTTTTGTGTTGCGCACAATCCTGTTCAAATATACGTTTGGAAGCCGCTGGAGTTTATTAATTAATAATGAATTACGATTAAAATATTTGGTTTGACAGGGTATAAAAAGGAAAGGTGGAATAACAAAAGCCCATATGCAAATACAACTCAAACATTAAAATTGAAAAAACGAATTGAACATAAATATTGGGTGTAACAGCATATGATTATATGTAGGTACACAGAGCTGTTACCGTTGGTATGACAAAACATTTTTCAAACAATTCCTATACCTACGCATTTTTAATGCATACGAGAGACGAAAAAGCTTTCATACATGCATACTAAATTAATTATCTAATTAATTTCAATAAATCAAATATTTATCGGTGGAATCGGTAGATTAATATAAAACAATTTTAAAACGAAGCTATATTTACACCGTTCTATACGTGCAGTCTGTGTTGACGTTTAAGTAACATAATATCTAGTAATATTATATGAAATAATATACATTAATGAAATATCCTTAGAATATAAGCTGACTGCAGACCGTCTCGGCTAAAAATCGTTATTCGTATACAGTGATTTATCATTGAATTCGGTTTTAAAATAACCATTACACTATTGCATTGACTTACTATAATAACTAAGTGAATATTATACAATCTTGATATCTACTAGATCAAATACAATACAATTGTTTAAATTATAAATCGAAAACAAATTTAAACGTAATTCTCTCTAAACCGATTAAAAATTAATAATACGATAAAAAAAAAAATCATTTTAAAATAGTAAATAGTTTTATGCACATTGTGCATCGATAATTTTCATTGGAATTTTATAATGTTCTATATTATTTAGATGAAATAACTTCAATGTTTAAATTAAACCTAAGAAACTCTATATGCACTTCCAATACCTCCACATTTTATGAGTAGGTAGGTATTTAGTTATTTAAAATATATACCTATCTACTTTAATTTATTATGAATGTAAACTACTGACAACAGTTTTAGGCTGTACTTTGAAATCTTAATCCTTGTTGGTCGTGGAATTTTACAAAAGTGCCCTTTTGTTAAATGTTTGGACATTTTAGTAGTACTTTTGTGGGTACACACTTTTCCAATTAGGTGCCTATTGAATTTTATTAAACTTTCATCAAAATATGCAAAGATGCTATTAAACATTAAAACACCACTATAAAATAATAGAATATGTATTGTGTGTATAACTTTTAGGTATGATTATATAACATTATAGGATAAAATCGTGCCAAAATTAAAAGTTAATTGAGAACTGGTAAATATCCACATGGCGCTTATCGCATCCGTATTCCGTTGTATATTTTATTATTATTAATAATAATTCAGTGGTTACAAGTGAACACGATGTTGTAGCTTCAATCTATCGTAAATATTAAATACATCAGAACCAAGGCCCTATCGTACTTCTTTGTATAGAATTTCTTACCTATCAACTTCAACATCCGGTTGAAGATTATTATAACAGTTAGATTATATATAATTGTATTGGAATGATTCACATTTACTCGATTTTTACTGTGATAACAATTTATTTTGGCATGAACACCACAGAATAGATTAGAATACCACTACTATTCTGTTATAATAAAATAATTGTTTCCAAGTATAATTTTCATTTAAAGCTGCAGTACACAAGTATAGTTAAATTAAGTTTATTTATTATTAACAAAAAAAATGCAGACATCAAAATATAAGTTTTAATTGCCTGTATATACCCGGGAACGATTCCGCCATTTTGGTAACCCTCTGGTAATTTCCCGAAGTGCCAATCCCAATTTTATACGTTATTTTCAATGTTTGCAAATCGAGTTCTACACCGAGAGGACGTCGGAGCTCAAATGCCTTATCGTATTGACTGTTAATATATTATAATGGCGCCCCCTGCAAGTTCATTATTTACGCGTGTCAACCACCGCATGGTATAAACCATATCGTATAGCTATGTGTATAGAAAATAAAACAATTAAGGTATTTATTCTTTCTATACAGCGGGTTTGCTCGCCGGTCGATCATAATTCATATAGGTTATTATACAAGTTATACAATAATTATATACTGCTGCACGTAAGCACCTCACACAAGGCGCTCATAATATAATAATATAATACTATTATAGTATTATATACTTAATATGTGTGTACGGTTCGGTCACGGACGAGGTGCCGACTTAAAACATTATACATCGAGTTTCCTCGGGGAAATATACATTTTTTCTTTTATCGCACGCCCCGAGAACAAGTTGGTCTCCCCGGTTTTATTTTATTATTAATATTTTTTTTTCGGTGACTTCTAGTGCACGTTTTACACACACACACGCATAGCTAATATATACACCCTATATAATATGTAATTTATATATATATAAATTATTATATACACACGGCGGCCGTCGCTACCGTTTACATTCCTTATCGCCTTGGTACATAGACGTATAATATCATATAGTACATAGTTGAATAATAATATTCTATATATATCGCATTATACGAGTGCTTTAATGTCGCGCATAGAACCACAAACAACAACCAGGCGTCAAGGAAAATAGACAAAAAAAAAAATGAAATGAAAAATAACCGAAAACAATTTCGGGTACCCACCTTTCTTCGGCGATCTCTTGGGACTTGCAAATGTGTTGCGGCGGCACCGTCGTCCACTGTTCGGCCAATGACACCATGCCACCCGCGTCCATCAGACCGTACCCGAATTTGTGACTCACTGTAAAAATAAGCAAAATATAATATATTATAATACACGATAATACATGTATATCTGCAATATCGCACGCGGGTACGTCACACACAATACATAATGATATACACGAGCATTTACGTCATATTATACGCGGTTGTGCTGCAGGTACCTGTACACCCAAGTGTATGTGTGTATATACTGGGTGATTATTTTATCAAACAACACTCATTATTTCAAAAAGTGTACATTTTTTTGAAGATATTTTTTTACATAGTTTCAAGTCGCTTATAAAACAACGTTTTATTAAAAAATTATTTTTTTAATTATTTTTTATCCTTATAATTTTTTAAGTTTTTTACTTTTTTGAATAACAACATAGGGTTTTAATTTTATATTCCAAAGCAGAATATTTTTCTTAGTATTTTGATACATGAAAATCGAATTTGGGGCGAGTAGTTTATGAGTTATAAGTATTTAAAGTTTAGACGAGCGGTGAAGTGGACAAACATTTCACGGGGTAACCCCGAACCACTCCACTCCGCTCGTCTAAACTTTAAATACTTATAACTCAAAAACTACTCAACCCAAATTCGATTTTCATGTATCAAAATACTAAGAAAAATATTTTGCTTTGGAATATAAAATTAAAACCCTATGTTGTTATTAAAAAAAGTAAAAAAACTTAAAAAATTATAAGGATAAAAAATATTAAAAAATATAATTTTTTAATAAAAACGTTGTTTTATAAGCGACTTGAAACTATGTAAAAAATATTTTCAAAAAAATTTACACTTTTTGAAATAATGAGTGTTGTTTGATAAAAGAATCACCCAGTATATATATATCTCATTAATATAATATTATAATGTATGCGACGCACACGTCCGACATGTTACGAACAGGCTTAGGGTTAATTGCATTCGATTCGGTTCGCGGTTTGAGGATCCTGCGAGAAACGTCACAGCGGCTAAATAGAATTTTTTTTTGTTTTGTTTTGCGTTTGTGGGTTTTCGAACGTCCGAAAAATCGTGGTGATGGACACGAACCGTTTGAATATTTAATACGGGTTTTTATAATTTTTTTTCAACGAACAATTGAAACGTACACCGCGAGTAGCAATAGATTTCAACGTTTTCATATTGTTCTCCACCGGATTAAAAATACGATTTATAGCCGATATAATATTATTATTATTATCGTTGTTATGCGTCGGAATTTAATGCGCCTAGTACCTTACATTCGACTTGCCTATACGGTCGTAGTTTTAATATGTGTGAACGACATCGATTCGAGTTTGAGCAATCTGTGCGAACACTGCACGGAAACCAGAAAATTAATGATCCATCTCGAAATCAATTATGTGGTTGAAATAAATAGGGAACTGGAAAAGAAGTAGACTTGCTGTCTTAAATAAAAACGAATTTGTTCATAAAAATGAACATTATATATTATTGACTCGGAAAATGTAACCCACATACAAAAATTAAATGTCTCCGGCGAATAGTGATACACACCCTCATAATACTAGGTACATATATGTTATACTTATAACATTAGAGTAAACGAAGCATTTACCTACTACCCCTAGAGTCAATAAAATAAAATAAAATAGAGACTTATCCATGCAAAGATATTATTCTCTGTGACTATTTTGACGAAGAAAACCGTGTCATTAGGTTTTATTTATACTTTCTCGATAGAAAATCACATTATTGATCGTGTTTTAGTTTTTCCGGGAAATTAATCGATGTAAAAAACTTTAACCGGTAAATTACCAATGCCACAACAATTATTTGTATAGACATTACAATAATTTATTAGAATATAACAAAATACATATTGTATAACAAAGTATTTAAAATTTGTGCCATGTGTATAATAATTTATCGATAATATCTAAGTAAAGAGGATATACTATAATAACAGATATTAAACTGATATGATGTCAAGTAGAGGGAATAACCTATTGGTCCTATTGTGCTAAATCTTAGCTCTTCACAAAAAATTCCTATGTTAATATAATTTTTTTATCAAACATATTTTTTGCAAATCTTAATCAATATGTTTATATCTTGAAAATAATTGTATTTAATCAATAACCGTAGAAATGAAATATTATAAATTGTAATTTTTTGAATATTTTAAATTTCCATGGATAATACTAGTATAAGTACTACTTATATTTACATAATGATTACAATAAAATATATAGTTTAGATATTACAAGTTGCAAAAAACTCATATTTATCTAGGTATCTCATCTGATTTAGTATAATTTAGTATAATGCCTTTTCTCAAACTGATAATTGGTAGTACTGGGTCCTTTAAAAATCATGAATTACATCACATGCAGGATAGTACCACATATTAATATATTATTCGAAACTATAGAATATAGGTTATCACTTATCAGTATATAAAATATAGTTTCATGTAATCTGGGATAGTATAATTGTTATTAATTAGTATATCATTTGCATTTATACATACTTTAACCGTCCCTCGGATTTCTAGAATTACAACTAAAGGGGACCCAAAATTTTAACCATAATAAGAAGGGATGAGAATCCGTTCCTCTCCATGCCCCTATTTTACCATTGTACATAATGCAGTAATCAGTTAAAAAAAAAATGTGTGATTAAATACTTTGATTCCGTTATATATTTATATTCTTATTATTTATAATATGCCAGAAAATCGACGTAGACTTTTGAATATTTTAAAAATACAGTATAATATAATATCTAGAAATTATTTTTGTCAAAGAATATTATTTTGTTGACGAGATATTGATGCACGCATAATGCGCATTATACATTTTATGTGCGCTGTAAATAACATTACAATAGCGTAGGATAGGGTTAAATTAATAAAATGAAAGTATAAAAGGTAATTGGTTGACCTATATGGTTAGGTACACAGCTATACGAGTTTAGTTGTACTTCAATGTACAGTTGTTTGTTTTTAATTAATTTGAAATGTTTATTCATGTGGATATTTCACAGCAAAATAGATGTATTTTGATATAGAATATTACTTTTTTGAATCTTTAATTTACGAATATTGTAGGGATTTAATAAAAGAGGTTTGGGTTATGAAATATGAAATATGTCATATTGCGCATAATATACAAGAATTATCACGGCTAAAACATTTACTACATTTTTTTAGTAGTTACATAATATTTATAGGTAGTATGAATATATAGGTATTCCAGAATTTGTTACTTATATCTAATTAGGCGAAATGATCAAAACAATCCAATTATTATGACTGATGACCATAATTTACAGTTCGTAAGTAATACTTATAAATTATAATATATTACAATTTTGTAACTATTTAATTAATAATATTGTTAAAATAGTTTCACAGTAACTAGTTTATATAGCACCAAATTCAATTGTATAAATAATATATCTACATAAACATATTCATACGAGTTTATGCAATTATAACTAATATGGTGCGAACTTTTCAGTTAGATTTAACCTAAAAAAATTAAGTACTTACCCAATTGAATAAATTAATAAGTATTGATTTATATTTTTTATTAACTCTTATTAGTTTCTAAAAATCAAATAATTTGCTATTTATGACGATATTATTATAAATAAACGCATTACGTTTATATACCCCTAATTAACTATAGGTACATATTATACAAAATCATAAAAAATAAAGTGCCAAAATAAATTGTATATAATAACTGAACGGGAGTTGATGATTGTTGATAACAATATGGAATTTATAATAATGATTAAACTGCAAAATGATTAAGCTTTTAATAATTACTTCAAATATGTTTGAAACATTTTTAGTCAATTTTTACATTTTTGACCTACATTTCAATTTTCAGCTAATAATATTGATTAAATATATGAGTGTTGAAATAATGTTCATAATTTAATAAAAAGTTTAAATATTATGTTTTTGAAATTGCAGTTTTGTGGCTTTACTTAAGCAATTCATCAAAATCGACATAATAATTTTAAGCGTAAACATTTAGCTGCTGCCAACAACCTATAATTATATTTATACTTAAATTACCAAAGCTATCAAACACACAAATTCAGTGTCAGTATAAAAGTACAATAAATATATATATATTATATAATATGTGAGTGTGTATAGTTTATTAAATGAAATTGGATAAATGCCAAATTAAATGTTACAAAATTAAATATAATACAATTAACGATTTGAAAACAAATAAAATAAAATAAATCCACAGTTTTTAAAACATTTTTGTTTTGAAAATAAACTTAAGCTGCAATAAAATTTTTATCGAAAAAAGAAAATGCTTTTAGTAGAGCATACGACTGGTACTGTGTACATGACGTCATGCTTAAATTAATACATATAAATCCTTTTAGTTCATTGGATTAACTAAATAATGTATACTAATGGTATAAAAGTCATAGAAAAATGTAATTGTTTCGAATTGTTTTTTTGTTCGGAAAACGAGATGGTTGGCGTAATTGTTTGCTTACGCCGTAGTTATATAGAGCGTTAAATTGTTCAAGCAAAATTAATGAAAAAAAAGAAAAAAATAATACTAATAATAAATCGGTTTTTGAAGACATATTGAAAATCGGAAAATATATATATTTTTTTAGCTTATCAGCAAAAAGGGCGTTGGTTATATGTTGCCCAAACCGAAGAAATAATATTATTTCGAAAACAGAATTTTCTTCAATGAGTTTATTGTGCACTGTCGGACAGTCACGTACACATGCCACGGGAGGCCGGCAACGACCAGTGGTCAAGCACAGAGTATAACTTTCTACCATTCCTCCTATCGGCCACTATAGAGTCGGTAATGGGGCATGGATGTTTCACGATCTAGCCCTCCCACCATCAACGCAAAACTATATGATACATTTATTGTAGAAGTGTGTATGTGTGTGTGTGCGAGCGCTTTATATATATTATCATTATATGGGTATGTATATATGTATGCTATAATATTTACTATACTACTTTATTTTAGTTTACCTTTACGACCCACTCCGTTGGATATCCAACCTCCTTCTCGTTCCAGGGGTGCCGATTTGGACGTGAGCACCACAATGTATTGCATATCACGCCATGTCAATGCAGGGTTCGCTTCGAGTGTCAGTGCGCAAAGTCCAGCAGCTAGTGGAGCCGAAGCCGATGTTCCTGAAAATGACCCATTGACAAATGTGAAAATAATGTTTAAATGTGATGGATTTCGTAGGATATTTAATTTACGTGAATGTGTGTGTGTGTTATACTGTTATTGTAGTCGCATTTAATAAATCAAAAAATATCAAACTGGTTAAAACGCAATTATAAAACTCCAACGTAACGATGATGTGGGAAGCAGAAAAATAAAAATTATAAAATTTTGCACAAACCGTTTAAATATTATTAAAGGAAAATCAACTTAAGTGGCTCTATTCAGGAATTTGGCAGCAATAAGAATAAATACGTGTAATTCGTATGAGCATCGTCGTTACAGCCGTGCGATAGGCGCCGCGCCCCAAAATAATGTAAGACGTTTATGTACAAACGTTAATTGATTCGCAAACAATTTATCGAGACGATAAAAACTCGGAACAGAATAGAATGCTTGAAATATTGTTTTTTGAATAACACATAACAGTGTTGGAATATAAACAGGAGTTTAATCTAAAACGATGTACAAAAGTTTGTCAATGCTCCAGGGACGACAACCTGTAGATGTGTTAAACAACTTTATAGAAGGAGTTTAATATACGTAAACTGAGTAAACAAAAACAAAAAAATACGCGTCGTACATGTATACTTGCACGTAAAGTAATAATTCAAATGAACGCAAAAGTCCTTTTTCCCATTTAATTAGAAGAAATTAATTGTTGTCGTGAAAATTAAGTCCGACGAATAATAACGACTTACGACGACTACACGAAACAATTTTTTCCATGTCACGGATCAAATAGATAATAATAATACAAATAATATAATATTAATAATAGTATAATATTAATCCTGTGTTGAGTTACATTTAAAATCGAAATTACCAGTATGTTCTACGGTGCAAATGTGATCGGGGCGTAATTTGGCATCCATGTCCACGGTGGCCACGCTTTTGTCGTGTCCTGGAGTTCCAGAACTATAAGTGGTCGCTAGCGTAGATGAACATTCTTCAAGGTACCAAGGTTTATATCTAAAACACATAACACATACGATTATATAAATGTAGTCAGCTTAGTCCTTATAATATGCACGTTGTACGCATGTGCGCACGATGAGAAGAAGTTATTTTCTTAGTTTGAAATTTGCCTAACCCCTAACCTAACCCTTTCCAATCTCCTCAAAATTTCAGACTATAAAAAAAAAAAAAAAACAGGGAACTCGCTCTGTTGTATAGCCACAATTTCGGACGTAGGTACATCGTCATTGCAGAGTGTATTGGTGATGGATGGAAAAAAGTTTATTCCTAGAAAAAGAGATGAGTATAGCATTTATTACTAAGGATTATTTATATTATATTCATGCTTGACCAAGAAACAAACATTTTATTAACATATTGAACGAAATAAATTTAAAAAAAGTAGGAAACTGTGTAAATAAAAAATAACATATATTATTCCATGTTTAAAAATGTTGGTACCTACCTATATAAATATTTGGTAAACATTTAAAATGTCTACAGTTATTCGTTCGGAAAAAAAATATTTTTGTCAAAAACTGCTTTAACGTGAATATTCCAGGTGTTCTAGGTTTTCAGGTTTTTTTTGTTAGTTTTTCCTATTTATTGTGAAAAGTATAAAGAATTTAAGAATTTCTTACTTTTGATGCCTACAGTTCCAAATCAGGGTTTGAATCAAACTAAATTTACTACTTGAAACCACCCTTAAAGTCAAAGTTAAAACCAAATTTTTACTCCTAAATGGCTAAAATGTGATGATAGAAAAAATTCTCCATACAGTAAACCAACAATAATTGTGTGTGCGCATTCAGATAGATTATACAAATCTGGGGCTAGAGTCAAAAAGGGCCAATCTCACTTTTAATTTAATTTAATTTTTATTTAAACAAAAAGGGGCCGATGATCACATATGCCCCATAGATTTTGTAATTTTCATGATAATCATTAGTGCGAGATATGAGAAGGTCAATGTCATGAAAATTACAAAATCTATGGGGCATATGTGATCATCGCCCCCTTTTTGTTTAAATAAAAATTAAATTAAAAGTGAGATTTTTGACCCAAGCCCCAGAAATATAATCGCTTGATATATACTAGGTACTGTCTCCAAATGAACGACTGAAAATAACTAATACTTAATCGCATCCGAACATTATATGGATAGGAAATGATCCGCAGTGTAGAAATTAAACATTGAGAAGACGCAAAGCTATAATAAGCATTGGAAATAGATAATACGATACATTTAACTTTATAGCAGTAAATTACAAAATTGTAATAACACTGCAAAAATGTTATTCATTTTTATAGTAAAATATTATGAGAGAAAATACTGAGTTAATAATCAATTAAATAACAATAACATACACGCTATGTTATTGTTAACGCTAATACGTTTCATTATATTATACACCATTAATACAAACTATTGATAATATTCGATATATTATATAATACAATAAGTTATTACCTACTATTAATACTTGTAAGTTGCAATGTACTGAGCTATTATAATAGTTTATGGACAAATTTATAAATAAAAGTTCCACATTTTTAATACTCTTCAAATCATAATACATTTGTTAATTTGTTATTGCATTAATAATTATTAATTATGAATGGACATCGATAACAAATTACACACAATCTAGGTATATATATATATTTTTTTAAGCTTAAATTGCTTTATAATTTTGAGTTGAACTCTCTATAATAACGCATTATTTTGAAATTAATAGTAAGATGTAATCTCCTGACCCAGGTAGACCAAAATTTAGATGCGCCATTAATAGACAAGGCTAAGTTGAGGGTGTTGTACATAAATGTATAACTGATCAGATAATCTTTCACTAAATTCACTAAAGACGATTATTTATTAATTGCATTCTGTTACAAAGGTCAAAGACTTTGAGAGTGAGAAACAATGATAGGATAATGCCATTAATACTATTCTGATTTCCGTACTTGGGTAATATTTTAATTTTAAATGATCATAAGCAACAGTTAAAAAAATGAGATAACAATTATAAAAAGTTGCACAACAAACAACCAATAATGATCAGGGGCGTCATTTCAGTTTTTTTTCCGGGTGTGCAAGATTTTAGGCAAGCCAGTTTTAACATTTAACCAGGCCAATTTTAACATTTAATATTTAAAAAATAACCATGCAGTTGTGAGTATGTTAATTTTATAATCCTAATTACAATTAGTCATATCAACTAATGTATATTAGCTATTTTCAAATAGCTAGCAGTTCAATGTATTAAAAGCTTATAAGCAACTAAAACAAGAAGCAACTAGCGGCCCAACAGAAGCCATTATAATACTATTCGGAGAAATAAAAAGCATCATATGTGGTATAAAGGATTTTTTTTTTAATAAATAAATTTAAAAAACTAAACATTATTCAATATTCATACGAAATAAACATTATTAATTATTTTTAAATTTAAATCAGTGGATATCTAAGGGTTCTAATATATATTATGTACGCTATGCTTACACCACTAAAGCTGATACCAACAGGCTGGTGAGAACTATCTTTTATGATGAAACGCGCTTCACAAATAGAGATAAATTTGATGATAAAGCTGATAAAAAATTAATATATTACGTGCATGAATATTTTATTAATTTTTAATAGTAATCATATCGGCGTCGCATATAGGAGCATTAATGGAGGGCCAATTATTTACTCTATTATGTTAGTGGGGCCGTCACACACCCTGCCCCCCTCCCCAAATGACGCCCCTGATACGCATTTAAAAAAGAATAATACAAAATAATCGATTAAATGTTTTTGGTATTTGTTAACATTTACCAAATTCAATGGTATTATGTATTATTATTTTATAATTCACGTAGGTAAGATAAAATATTACTTTTTCATTAGATACTAATTAATTCGATACATAGGATACTTGAAATTGTTGTATTATTTGTTGCCGTAAAATGTTTAATATATACATATATTTAAACGTTTATGTATAGGGGTAGTATACGGTAACATTGCTTTAGTGTTGGAAAAAAAAGAGGAAATTAAAAAAACGCATTGTAATACTAACAACTCTCGTGCTCATAACTTAAAATAATATGTTACTATTTTTAATTTAAAATAATTCGCTTAAGAGGCATTTACTGAAAAACAGTCAAGTATTAAATTACAAGCCAGAAATCAAAAAGATAATATTACAGCGAAATACCAATAACGTTTAAATGTATAATGTATATATATATACACTATATACATAACCCTACTTAAATAAAACAAAGGCATATTAAAATAAACGAGCCTCAATCATCTGTTGCCTTCAACGTGGTTCTTTTTCTATTAATTTCTATGTTGAGATTTTCACAAGTGTGCTTATCACAAGACGATCTCATTAAGCACTCGACAGTGAGTGTTTTTCTCAGATATCTTTATGCTTGATTTTTGTTTTGAAGTTCAATTTTAACATTCGTTTTTTATTAAACTGATGTTTACACAATAAGACGGTACTCTAAATATAACTTTTACTTGAATTATCATTACATTAAGTGTCTCACTATTGTACAGGGACAAACTGTATAGTGTATATCTACACTTTATTCCATGCATATTTGTTTAAAATCATCAATCCACCGCGGACTGTTGCATCGGATAAGGTTTTTATTATTTTTTTTTTTATTATATTTAGTTTATTGTATTTAAATTGTGCACTTCTTTATAGCGACGTCACCATCGGTGAATACTGAATATCATGTTTTCCGTGCCGATAAACAGTTTATATATCAATCCTTCAATAATAAAAAAAAAAAGGAAGAAATATTTGATCGTAAAACGCCAACGCTTTTAGCTTAAAACAATTTCGTTTCTTATTCTGCCTATTTCGTTGACGTAAACCTATTACCTACGTATGCACATAAAACGCAAGCACCTCACTCCAATCATTCTCCACAGCAACATATATATTAGAACGCGGAACCGACGAATCGACCAATCCGGCAGACGAGCTGTCGGTGGTAAGATATACGACGGAGAGTCGAGCAGTGATTGGTTGGTGCAAAGAGGGCCACTGGACCGCATTAGTTTTTTTTAGAAATATGAGTGCGCCTCACATAAGAGCCCGTGTCCCTATATTTTCAATATTCAATTGATGGCGAATAGATATGATTTAATGCATGCCAGAAAAAACAAAAACTTCTTTTACGCTTTATGAAAGCGTGATTATATAATATTAATAATAAGTTATACATTTCCGCATCAATAGGAATCGTTCTAAAAATAGTAATATATAAACATATAATTCGTTCATAATTCGAAAAGGGTAGGTAATAAAATATTAGCTCACGTTCATCATTAGAAATTGAAAAAAATTCGTAATAATATTATATTAGCACCTCACTCCAATCATTCTCCACAGCAACATATATATTAGAACGCGGAACCGACGAATCGACCAATCCGGCAGACGAGCTTGTCGTGGTAAGATATACGACGGAGAGTCGAGCAGTGATTGGTTGGTGCAAAGAGGGCCACTGGACCGCATTAGTTTTTTTTAAAAATATGAGTGCGCCTCACATAAGAGCCCGTGTCCCTATATTTTCAATATTCAATTGATGGCGAATCGATATGATTTAATGCATGCCAGAAAAACAAAAAAAACTTCTTTTTACGCTTTATTGAAAGCGTGATTATATAATATTAATGCTAAGTTATACATTTCCATCAACAGGAATCGTCCTATAAAAATAGTAATATATAAATCGTTCATAATTCGAAAAGGGTAGGTAACAACATATTAGCTCACGCTCATCATTATAAATAAAATTTCGTAATAATATTATATTATCCATCTAGTATATGTACGGGTCTGAAGTTGCAATAAGTATTGAGTAGAAAGATTTATTTCAAAGATTTGCAAATGATAATTAATTAGGTAGCGTACCTGTCTCGATATAAAAAATAATAATATAAAAGTTTTTTCGGATTTTTTGTGATCATCTGTATATTATTAAACATATTTCAATATACA